CCCTGACAGATGACCTTTGTTTGAAAGCCTTCAAAGAAGTAACTTCCACCACACTCGGGCAGAGAGTTCCACTAGATGTTAAAGATGTTAAAGAAGCTGTCCAAGGTACTGGACTCTATCTTCAAAATGTGTTCCTCAAACATTCAGATTAAAACTAGCAATAAATTCACTTTCGTACTAATATGGAAGCCAACAAACCCACATATGTCTTCCATTGATGGAAGAATGGAACTCCTTGAGGGAGGGCTTTCAGTCGTGCTACCATCACAGGCTCATTTTGTGAGAATATTAGAGAGAGCCTTCTCAGTGGCTACTCCCACACACTTTTTGTTTAAGAAGGCTTTTAATGTGCAGTTGCTAACAAAGCAGGTTCTTATGAAATAGGTGCTTTATTTTAAATTTGTGTATGCCTTGTAATGATTTTATGCTGTTTTAATATGATAGTTTGTCATTGTCTTTCACATTTTATTATTAGATTTTAGTGAATTCTTTTTGTGAGCTGTTGTGCATCCCATTCCAGGAGAACAGTGCAAAGAAACAAACATTCTGCCTATGGTACAAGAAAAAAACAACAACAAAGGACATTTGCACTATACAATTATATCATTATTTTCCTTCAGCTGTGATAGTTCTATCATATCCTTGGATCTGCAGTTTAGAGAGGAATGTTTATAGAGTTCCCATCCAAAGAACTCTAGTTGAGTCCCATTATGGGAGAAAAGCGTGATAGAAATAAATAAATAAATAAATAAATAAATAAATAAAACTACTACTACTAATAATAATAATAATAATAATAATAATAATAATAATAATAATAATTGTGTCTCTGATCAGGTTACAAACCCTAGGATTCCATAGAATGTTACTGTAGCCATTAATGTGAAATCATAATGCTGTAATTGTATAGTGTGAATAGACCCATTACATAGGAAGGGGGGAAATTGTATTTCTCACAAGCCCCCTGAAAAAACCCCTGCTCTGAATGATTTTTTTTTATTTACTTCACTTGTATACCACGGTAGACTCAAAATGGTTTCCAAGGTAATTATAGCAACATTTAATGCCACACATACAGAAACCTAACATAACGATAATAACATAAATTATCAATTAAATCATAAAATACAACATCATTTAACATTAAAACATTAAAAACATATTAATATAAACATTAAAATCACACAACCCAACAATCGTTGGATTAGGCCCTTCCCCAGGACAGAATGAGAGTTGTTGCTGGAGGCTGTAGATCTAGAATGACAATGTATCAAATCCAGCTTGAGTTCTTCAGTACTCTTACAAACAGCATAATTGTTCTATTTTCACTATAGACAAGTTTTTGCTCCCTTCATCAAAGTGCATGTAATGCAAATCCAGGATAAAGCAAATCCAATAAAGGGACCTTATCTCATACACTTTCCTCTCCTCTAACTGAACAATTCCAGCAAATTTGCTCTTGCAGCGTGTGAGGAATTGTGAATGAATGCTGGTAGACGAAGTGCTGTCCAAAGCTGCAACCCTAAGCACATTTACTCTGAATTAATCACTATTGTTATTAGTGAGGCTTATTTCCAAGGAACCATGCCTAGAATCAGGCTGGGTCACTCATTTATTGCTAGCCAAACCTTAAGCAAGTAGAAGGTGCCCAGGAGCGACTTTGATTGCAGTCAGTTTAAAAGGGGAGAGCGAACTCTTAATGAATTTGTCGTTATTAATCCCTGGCCTTGGCCATGAGAACATAATCCCCGCTGAGTGTTTCTCCCCACCGCCACCATTTGATTGACAGGCTGAGGATGCAGAAGCTGGACTAATAAGTCTGGGCAGGGCCATCTGTTTATATGGCTGCGGCCAGGTCAGCAGGAAGCACATAGGGCAATTCAGACTCTCAAATGGCCTCTTCTTGGAAGGGTGCTTATCGGATCAACAAAACTAAGGCATAAAAAGAAACACTGAGGGGGAAGTAGTAAAAATAGCCCAAAACATGACAGCAGGCATAAGGTGTCTATGTAGACAGGAATTTGCATACATCTCTTTTTTTCTCTCTCACTGCATAAAATATACAGTTAGCCCTTACATGGATTTGATTAGTGGATTTGATTAAATGCTCTTTCTAGGAATCTCTGGGTTCTCCACTGCAACTTCTTTTGGAAACTGATTATAGAATCAAACTGGGGGACCTCTCTGGGATTTTCTAGGTCCTCCTATGCAATTTTATGCTCCAGTGGAAGTCACTAGGAGACTCAGGGCGGTTTCCACACATGCAAGAACACAGAAAAAAAATATACAGAGTGTTCAAAACATAGACACAAAATTATTAACACAAAACCAGTTCCAACACTATTCAATCATATGCTAGGAGTCAGAGTAGACCGTTTAAGGGGGCTGAGCCGAGGATAGTGCAGAGCAGTATAGGGCTGGGGAGATGGGGGAGGTGCAAAGGAACGATCCTAACAGTGACCATAGTGGGGCCTGGGATACATTTCCAGGACCTATTAGTGAACTATGAGAAGGACTGGGCAGCACAAATACTTACAGATGACAGGGGGTCAGGAAAAAGAAAGAAGAGCAAGGCTGAGACCTAGCTAAGGCTTGGGGACTGGGACTAGTAACCTACCTGTATTTTTGCTACTGTTATAGAACATAATGTAAATATCTGATATACAGAATGTATTTCAATCACTGGAATTTCTAGTTCACCTACAATCAAAGAGCATTCTGAACCCCACCAATGACAGAATTGGGCCGAACTTCCCACACAGAACCCTCATGACCAACAGAAAATACCTGTGTTTTCTGATGGTCTTTGGCAACCTGTCTGGCAGCCCCCTCATGACCCCTTCAGGGGTCCCAACCCCCAGGTTGAGAAACACTGACCCAGAGATACTTAGAAAAGTGTTCTCTTAGGTTAAAAATACTTCTGTATTCAACATTTTCACTTCCATGGGTGTTTTGTTCTCTTAGCCCAAGTAAATGTGGAGGGCTGACTGTATAAGAGTAACTGGAGCCTCCTGCTGACAACTGTGATTCCCACCCCCATTTTCTAGAGTCACTTGATGAGAAAAAAAGTCCAGATATGGTCTACCAGGATATATGAAAAGAGCAGTACAGCTATGGAGCTGGGGCAAAGTGAGATCATAACCCCCTTCTAAGAAATCTTTCCCCAACTGAATTTCCCTCCAGTCCTCACATTTCCAGCATTGCAGAGTGTCATTCATACCTCAAGTTCTTACATTTACACAGAATTTGAAACTGGACTTGGTTTGACTCTGTTGCTTAGTGTTGCTTTGTTTATTTATATCCTAACTCTCCTCCAATGAAGTCAAAGGGACAGATATGGCTCCCCTAACTTTCCACTTTATCCTCACAGCTGCCTTGCGTGACTGGCCCAAAGTCACCCAAAGGGAGTGTGAGGATAAAGGACTCTGCCAAGATTTAGCCCAGATGTCTAAGCACTATTTCACAGCTGGGATTGGACAGCTTGTGTCGTTTTCAGGCTGTATGTCCATGTTTTAGCATCACTTTCTCTTGATGGATCTTCTGAAGATGACAGCAACAAATGCAGGTGAAATGTCACCAGGAGAAAATGCTGCTAGAATATGGCCACATAGTCCAGAAACCACACAATACTCCATTACTCCAATTGCCCTTCATCATTGGACAGGCTGGTTAGGGCAGATGGGAACCAGAGTTCAACCACCTCTGGCAAGCCACAGATTCCCTAATCCTGCTATAAAGTGGAAAACATCCTCCAGTGTCCCATTGATTGGAGCCCACCAACAAAGACACAGTTGGGCAAAGAAGCAGCTTTGAAGATGGTCCCAAGTTTTGGAGGACCTATCCATGGTGTCTATTTGGATGACAGGATTTGTTTCTTTTAAAGCACTGGCTCCCAACCTGTGGTCTGTGGGATTATTTAGTGAAGATTAACCCCATTGTTTATTCCACCCAAGTCTTTCACTAGACACACCATTTTATTTATCTTCAAGCTCACCCAGGGGTTTTATTATTTCATCCTTTGCATTTGGTTCAGCTTGTTTTGTTTAATTCCTTTATCATTTTATATTTGTGTTATTATTATTTTATTGTATTACTTTAGTATTTTATTTGATGTTAGTGTCTGTTGTATGTATTTTATTTTGCCTTATTGTAATTCTTGGGCTTGACCTCATGTTAGACACTCCGAGTCCCTTTGGGGAGATGGTGGCAGGATATAAATAAAGTTTATATTATTATTATTATTATTATTATTATTATTATTATTATTATTATTATTATTAATTATTTGGGGTGCTGATTCATAAAATTGTATTAGATAGACCATGTCAGCTCTAGATTATTAAATATGGTTTTCTGTGGGTGAGCAGATGGAGACTACTGGATGGCATATGTTCTGTATCAGAATCTAGAGCGGATGTGGTCTATCCAATGCAATCTTCTGAGTCAGCTCCCCAAATAAACAAACTGAAACTAAAGTCGACCAAAAACTGATTCATAACCTTTTTGGTACTAATGTTGGAGAAGTGGTCCCTGGTGGGGAAAAAAAGTTAAGAACCCCTACTTTAGAGTCTGGCCTGAAACCAAGAGCAGACTCCCATTTCGGTGCAGACTGGGAGACTCCGGGCACCCTGTAGCTGGCTGCCTTGAGGGCCTTCCTGCTGGACTTTGGCCCCAAGGGCTCCTCTGCCTCCGGAAGAGAGACAACAAAACCCGAGGTTGGGTGGGTTTATGTGGCTCTTCTTCTCCTTTGGCGCCGAGGCGGGAAGCCGTCCAAGGGGCAGAGCGGAGGGGCGAAGGGCTTCTGGGTCGGAGCTTCCTTCTGTGGGGCGCCTGCCGCGGAGGGGGCGGAAAGGGGGGCAAGGACAGGGAGGGAGAGACGCTCCTTCCTCCTGCTCCTGCCCCCCTGCAGCTCAGGCGCGGAGGCGAGGCGGCGGAGGGAAGGAGGGCGGGCTCGTCGTCAGGTGCTCGCCAGCGCCGCCCTCCCTTCGCTGACAGAGGAAGAGGACGAGGAGGAGGAGGGCCCCAGCCAGGAGGCGGCAAGGTGCGAGGCAGAGCGGCGGGAGGCCGTCTAAGGGAGTTGAGGGGCTCCTTCCTGCTCGGGATCGCGCGGGCAGAGAAGGCGGCGGCGGAAGAGGAGGAGGAGGAGGAGGAGGAAGAAGAAGACGGGGAGGCCCCTGCCCCGGGGAAGTCGGGGGGGCTGCTGTCCGGCCCACCCTCCCTCCCTCCCCTCCTGGGTCTCCGAGGGTCTCCGGGAGGCAGCCGGAGGGGGCGGGCGAGGGAGCCATGCAAACGGCCACCGCCTCCATCCTCGACGTTTCCCGGACGGTGGTGATCCGCGAGGAGGGCAACCCCGCTCGGAATAACTACACAGGTGAGTAGTGGCGGGAGAAAAGAGAAGTCTGGACGGGGTTCGGCGCGGTTGGAGGCTCGGGGACGGGGTTGCGGGCAAGTGAGGCGCCGGGAGAGGAGGAGGAGGAGGAAGGACAGCCCCGCTGGAGCCTGCCTCGCTCCTTTGGGATCGAGAGAGAGAGAGAGAATAGTGTCTAGATCCAGGGAAGTCATGCTACCCCTCTATTCTGCCTTGGTTAGACCACACCTGGAATATTGTGTCCAATTCTGGGCACCACAATTGAAGGAGATATTGACAAGCTGGAATGTGTCCAGAGGAGGGCGACTAAAATGATCAAGGGTCTAGAGAACAAGCCCTATGAGGAGCGGCTCAAAGAGCTGGGCATGTTTAGCCTGAAGAAGAGAAGGCTGAGAGGAGACACGATAGCCATGTATAAATATGTGAGAGGAAGTCAGAGGGAGGAGGGAGCAAGCTTGTTTTCTGCTGCCCTGGAGACTAGGACGCGGAACTACAAGAAAGGAGATTCCATCTGAATATTAGGAAGAACTTCCTGACTGTGAGAGCCGTTCAGCAGTGGAACTCTCTGCCCCGGAATGTGGTGGAGGCTCCTTCTTTGGAAGCTTTTAAACGGAGGCTGGATGGCCATCTGTCGGGAGTGCTTTGAATGCAGTTTTGCTTTTTCTTGGCAGGGGGTTAGACTGGATGGCCCATGAGGTCTCTTCCCGGTCTAGGATTCTATGATTCGATGAGTCTGCCTCGGGGGGCTTCCGGGCTGAGTTTCTGCTTAGCCCTGGCTGGGACCTGGGAGGGAGAGCAGCCTAAGCCCGGCAAGTGAGCTGCGTGAAATCGATGCCTGCTCTTGGGCCCCGCTCTTTCAAAGAGAGGAAGAGAGAGAGAGAGAGAGTTGGTGTGCTACGGGGCGGGAAGAAGCGCCCTCGATGCCAGCCGGAGAGAGGGCTATGCTTGCCCCCCTCCGCCCCAAGCCCATCCTTCCAGGGGGGCAATTGCTGCAGCTGCCCTTCTAAGATCTTGCCGGTTGCCTCGTCTTTGGGGTTTTCTCAGAGATGTTCCCCTTCTGCCCTTCCTTTCCCGACCAGCCTGCTTCCCGGGCTTCCTCTCCTTTGCCCCCCACAAGCCTTGGGTCCCAAGTCAAGCTGAGTGGGCGAGTTCGCCTGTGGTCAGTGCCCCGGGAGGACCCGCGCCCACGCACGAGTCTGTAGTACATGAAAGGTATTAAGCTCCAATCCAGGCACTAAAATGAGGAATATAATGCCCAGTTTAGAAACAAGATCCAAGTGGAGGGAGAGTCCCACTCCTGAGAGGAAAGGGGGATATCAATCAAATTGTCGGCTGGTAGTGAATTACGATCTCAAGAGCATCAGGGAGCAGCGCAGTATTTGCAAAGCAATCTCAAAATCTGAAGGCATTGGAAGTATCCTAGGTTTGCCTTTCTCTCATGGGGAAATCTCAGCTTCGACTGCTTCCCAAGTGGAAATCAGTTCCCTGCATTAAAGTATTTTTGTCTCTGTATGAGAGCTTTCTGTAGAAACCAGAGGAGAAAGGCTGGAGATATTTGGCATGTGCTACCCACACAGACTGCCTGAGTGCCTCATTGGATTGCATGCGAGAACATCTCTGTCCGAGGGTTTGTGTCTTTGCTCAAATATGATGTAGGTCTGGAGTTAATAAGTTTGGATTTAAACAAGGTGGGAAACCTGTGACCAGGCATGTAGCGGGGGGGGGGGGGGGGGGGCTTGAGGGGCTTCAGCCCCCCCCCCCCCCCGAAATTCTCATGGTGGTTCGCGAAAAGGCCTTACTGGTGCATTATTTAAACTGTTATGTTTATTCATATCATGATCTGATCACCCTACTCAATATATCCCATATGCATGGGGGTATTGGGGTAATGATACAAAAGGTTTGCTAGGGTAGACCCTCTTTCACTCAGACTCAGCCCCCCCCCCACCCCCCCCCGAAACCCCCCCCCCCGAAAAAAACTCAGCCCCCCCCCCAAATCGAAATCCTGGCTACGGGCCTGCCTGTGACCCTTCAAGTGTTGTGTGGCTTTAGTTCTCCTTAGATCCAGCTAGGATGGCCAAAGCTCAGAGGTGATGGGCATTCTAGTCTGTTGGGATCTGATCCACCAGTTTTTTTTTATCGTGCCAGAAGCAAATTGTGAATATACTGCAAGTCGCTTCTAGTGTGAGAGAATTGGCCATCTGCACGGATGTTGACCAAGAGACACCCAGATGTGTTATCATCCTGTGGGAGGCTTCTCTCATGTCCCTTCATGGGAAGCTGGGGCTGACAGGTGGGAGCTTACCCTGTCTTGCGGATTTGAACTGCTCACTTTCAAATCTTCAGGTCAGCAGTTCAGCTGCACAAGGGCTTAACCCATTGTGCCATCACAGTGCCCTCCCCCACAAATGTACCTTTTCATTGCTATCTCATCCAGAGTTTTAACATTTTATGTTGTGCATTTGGCCCGCCCACTGTGTTTTATTTTTCATTATGTTATTTTGTACTGTTTATTTTACTTGATTGGTTTTTTATTTTATTGTAATGTTATTTTGTTGTTTATAGTTTATGTTGCTGTAATGTATCACTGGGCTTGACCTCATGTAAGCTGCTCTGAGTCCCCTTTGGGGAGATGGTGGTGGGGTATAAATAAAGATTATTATTATTATTATTATTATTATTATTATTATTAAAGTATACATTTTGTCAGGAAGCCAACCTTAGGTCTCCCAATGGTGAGAAGCAGCCCCTTTCATCTTTAACCTTGCATTGGTTTTGTGATTTAAATCATCTTCCTGTAGAAAAAAAAATACTGGCTCATAATTCCTCCCATGGGTTTGCCATGGGGGGGGGGGTGACTGGTATTACCACACTTTAGCCCCATGGCTATAAATGGAATGACTAGTTTATAGTTTGTCAGACGAGTTTGGAAATCACAATCCCACCATGAGCCCACAATCCACACACCCCAGTCCTTGAATTCGAAATCTTCTTAATTTTGGTGAAACCTTTGGGTAATGCTTCCACTGAAGTAATGGGGCAGCCCTAAAGGTGTTTCTCTGTGGCTTGACTGCACCTAGTATTTAGAGGTAAATTCCAGTAAAGCATGTGTTCCCAATAAAGGGAAAGTTACTACTTGAGGAGGGAAAGTGCAAAAGGTGTGTGATCCTCATTGCTGTGTTTCAAAACATTGGTTAGCAGCATGCTCTGTGTGCTTGATGTCTGGGGTAAGTGAGAGGGAAAGTTTATCTTCTCCACTTTCACCCATTGCCTTTCTGAAACACCTCTTGCCACTCTGCTAATAGCCCTAGGGTTGCTTGTGGTCCCTGGTGTTGCTTTTGTAGCCTTTGGAGACCCCTTAGAGTGCCCCAAAAAGGTGAATTGCTTGTCCTGGGAACCTCTGGGGTAACCTCCACATTTTAAATAGGTTATAGGTGCTCCTTAATAAATAATAATTTATTATTGCCATAATAAATTATGACAAGTTCTTGGTGGCATGGAGATACCAATTCACCTTGGCTGTCTCCTGAGGAATCTATATAACAACCAAGTAGCAATAGTAAGAACAGACCACGGAACAACAGATTGGTTCAATATTGGGAAAGGAGTACAACAGGGATGTATACACTCTCAATCAGCCTATGCAACTTGTATGCAGAACACATTGTGCAACGTGCAGGGCTTGATGAATTCAAGGCTGGAGTTAAAATTTCTGGAAGAAATATTAACAACTTTAGATATGCAGATGATACCGATTTGATGGCTGAAAGCACGGAGGAGCTGAGGAGCCTTCTAACCAAGGTGAAAGAAGAAAGTGCAAAAGCTGGGTTGCAATTATTAAAGAAAATCAAGAATATGGCAGCCAGACTCATTGATAACGGCTGAATAGAGGGAGAAAACATGGAAGCAGTGACAGACTTTGTATTTCTAGATGCAAAGATTACTGCAGATGCAGACTGCAGTCATGAAATCAGAACATGTTTACTTCTTGGAAGGAGAGCAGTGAGCAATCTCAATAAAATAGTGAAGAGTAGAGACATTACACTGGCAACAAACATCTGCATAGTTAAAACAGTGATATTCCCATAGTAATCTATGGATGCGAGAGCTGGACCATTAAGGCTGAGTGAAGGAGGATAGATGCTTTTGAACTGTGGTGTTGGAGGAAAATTCTGACAGTATCTTGGACCACAAGAAGATTAAACCAGTCCATACTCCAAGAAATAAAGCTTGAATGCTCACTGGAGGGAAGGATATGAGAGGCAAAAATGAAGTACTTTGGCCACATGATGAGAAGACAGGAAAGCTTGAAGATGAGAATGATGCTGAGGAAAATGGAAGGAAAAGGGAAGAGAGGCTGACCAAGGACAAAAAAGATGGATGGTGTCCTTGAAGTGACTGGCTTGACCTTGAAAGAGCTGGAGGTGGCCACAGCCGACAGTGAGCTCTGGCATGGGCTGGTCCATGAGGTCATGAAGTGTCAAAAACATCTGAATGAATAAACAACAAAAGCTTCTTTCCGCTCCACAATATTGTAGCATAAAGACTATTGCTTTTTCAAACCAGACGTGGACCTCTCACCATCGCTTGTTGTCTACCAGTGCCCTAGAGGAAACAATAACATAAACAACCCTGACAGGCTTTTCCACCTTATAAAATTATCATCCCTTGCCATTGCTTACTGCTCAGCCATAATACTTACCTGGAAACTTTGCCCTATTCAACCCCCATAGACCAAGCAGAATTGTTGTGAACCTCAGGTGGCTTGGAGGAGAAAAACCAAGCATGTCACCTTTAGCTCTTTGGAGAAAAAAAGGATACAAATCTAACTAAGAAAACACAAGAAACCTGATATGCTTCCAAGTAGCAGGTCACATGTATTCTGGCCCCAAGTTAACTTTGCAGCTAAGCCTGTTAAGTGTCCAGAACAGATGCTGCCTGGTGCATTTTAACAGAAGAAGCAAAGAAAGAGAACCTTGTTCTGACTTGCTGGTTTCACCTGA